ACTGGGTGAGAGCATCTCTTGTTTGTGGAGGATCTTGTTTGCTGGATGGTAACTGTACAGATGTGGTCTCCTCACCTCAAAAAAGATATTTTGGCCTTGGAAAGGGTTCAGAAAAGGGCAACTAAAATGATTAGGGGTTTGGAACGGGTCCCATATGAGGAGAGGCTAAAGAGACTGGGACTTTTCAGTTTAGAAAAGAGGAGACTGAGGGGGGAATATGATAGAGGTATATAAAATCATGAGTGGTGTCGAAAGGGTGGATAAAAAAAGTTATTAGTTCCCATAGTAGAAAAACTAGAGGACACCAAATGAAATTAATGGGTAGCAGGTTTAAAACTAATAAAAGAAAGTTCTTCTTCACACAGCGTGTAGTCAACCTATGGAACTTTTTGCCAGAGGAGTCTGTGAAGGCTAGGACTATAACAGAGTTTAAAGAGAAGCTAGATAATTTCATGGAGGTTAGGTCCATACAAGGCTATTAGCCAGGGGATAGAAATGGTGTCCCTGGCCTCTGTTTGTCAGAGGCTGGAGAAGGATGGCAGGAGACAAATCGCTTGATCATTGTCTTCAGTCCACCCTCTCTGGGGCACCTGGTACTGGCCACTGTCAGCAGACAGGCTACTGGGCTAGATGGACCTTTGGTCTGACCCAGTACAGCCGTTCTTATGTTCTAAAATTATCTATAAGACACTTATATTGTGTCTGCGAACACAGAACTGCTCCTGTATTAACAATTCAAAAGTAATGCATGCCCTACACATTTTCAATAAACTGATCTTAACTAAGCTCGCTACCATCCCATGCTTACTCTGAGCTGGTGTTTATTATAAAAAGAACAGTTACCATCCAGCAAACAAGATCCTCCACAAACAAGAGATGCTCTCACCCAGTCTTTATTCAAGTGAACACTAACTTCAGTGAGAGTGCGTTCAACCACTTATAGAAAAGGATATGGAGAAATCTCACAGAACAGTAACTTATCCACTGAATGCACTGTACCAAACATCACCAAGAAACTCATCTTCAAAGGACACTTTGTTAAAACTTAATTTAGTTATTAAACGTACATGTGGCCTGGACAGAGAGGGGAGCAGAGATTGGCTGTCCATAAAAAAAAAAGTCAGTATAGTTTTAATGCAGTCTTTTTACCATCTACCCTGCCTTCAGTCATATAACTCTGACTCTCTCATTCTTTTCACTTTGAGTTGCTGAATAGCTGTATTTATCAGCTTCTTTATATGTGAAAAATCACCATCACCAAATGGGCTGGACAATTTTTCATTTTAGTTCCAACTATTTTAATTTTATATATGGGTACATATGATTAGTAGAAAACTGCTTCAGCCTCAAACTTCTGGGTACATCCCTGCAACTCATCTGCTGATTCTGGCAAGGTCTATTATTTGATTACACATTCACATGCTATTATTTTATCATGTGACTGCTTGAGTGCAGAGCCCAGACCTCATTCAGCAAGCTCTGGTAATAATACACACTATTTATTATTAACAGTGGGAAGGATTCTTGTTCTCAGGATCAGGCTGAACAATTTGTTTCTAGAGCTCATTGTTACATCAAAACTATCTTCAAAAAGCCCACTTACCTGAGCTGAGCAGAAAGATGTCCAGAACAAGTCTGGCTGACATCATCAATTCCCAAAAAAACTAAACTTGTTTCCCCCCCCCCCCAAATCTAGCCCTTAATATTGTGAAGAAAATCTTAAACTGAAAGAATGGAGTGTAAAAGAGTGCTGGTGTTACACTGCCAAACCTACAGAGTACTACCTCAATTCAGCAGTAGAGCCAGTAAAAAAACCTGCAGCAAAAAGAGCTACAGTGGCTCCCAATTAAACTTCTAGATTTCAGGATAACCAACCTCAAGCATTCAAAATTAATGAGTCAGGCCCCCCAAAATCTTGAGATTGACTTCCCAATTAGAAATGTTAAGAAAAATACTGCTCTCTTTTCACTCTTGGTGTTGGAGACTTAAGAGTTGACATTTTCAAGCTACAGATGGGGATAAAAATGTTCTTGGGGGGTATAAATATGATAATGGAGATTCTCAGGTGATAAGACGTCATCCGCTAGGCCTTTAAAAACAGACCCAAAGCACTAAGACTAATGCATCTTGGTTCCACTTAGTCTCTGCCTGTGGCATGTAATAGTCTGAACTCCTGAGAGCTACAACAGTTTGGTTTAATTTTAGTTAATGTGCAGATGCTGGGTAGTGCTGGTAGCCTGTGATTTATAGGTCAAATCAGATGATCTGGTGCCTCTTCTAGCCTTTAAACTGCATAACTGTAAGACTCATTACAAAAAAATCATGAGTTGATTCCCTTATTGACCTGTGGAAAGAGAACATGAAGATCAGCTGCTTCTCCCCTCCTGGACCAGGCCTGCTTCCTGTCTACTACTCAGGACACTCAGGCTCAGCTACCCTGTGGCTTTCTCATTTGAACAGTCCCAACCTCCATTGAATGTCTCTTGGGAATTCTCCACGCCCACGGTCCAGAAAAAAATGACACCAGCTCATTAGCTGCCTCCATGGATACCAGCAGGATTTCATAATCAAGCAAAGAAGCACAGGACTGAGGCAGATGAATTATGAGTACAACAGTCAACATGAGAGGCAAGATGTCCCCCATTAGGAAAAGATTCACAGCCAAATGTGAGATATGGGCAGTACCTAGGTGACTGCTGCAGCTTTCAAAAACTGTTGCTCAGGTAATATATTCAGTGAGAGAATGGACACTTTGGGGGATTAGGTCACGAGCAAGCGTGGACGAGAAGGGAGAAGTGATGAGCTGAGGTGTGAATGGGGACTCAGTGGGCAGGGAGATGATAAATCAGGTGATGAACCAGTAGGTATAGAGTGTAAAGTATGAGTAGCAAGTAAATGGTGGAATGGGGCCACATCCAAGTATGTGTGTGTCCATGTAAGAGCTGTCCATTCACTCAAGGGTGATGCTGAATGCAGAAAAGGGCTTCTTGTACTTCAGACTAATTCCTTTAAAGTCCTAGAAAGTAACACATCATATTGTAGCAAGCTCAATACCACCGTGCTCTAGAAATCTCACTATTTTCAATAAATAAATAACCAACCAACAAACATTCTGTGAAACTGGAATCTTTCAAATGTGTCTAAATAAATTTTTGGGGGCATATATATTGTTTAATGCCTATTAGTTAGAAAAAGACATATCATAAACACCTAAGTAGGTGTTTGTGGACATGGTTCTCAACACCAAGGTATCCAAGGAACTCTCAAATATTAAACTTATTTTCACAACATTGTTGTGAGTTAGGTACTTACCATCAATTTACAAATGGAGCAGAAATGAAGCACCAAAGTTTAAGTGACTTCCTTAATGTCACATGAGAAGTTTAGGCTAGAGCTAGGACTGAATCTAGAAATTCCAGGACTATCCTACCTTTTGACCATGAGGGTTTTTGTTTGTTATAGTGATAGAAATGTAGCCGTGTTAGTCTGGTGTAGCTGAAACAAAAAACAGGATTATGTAGCACTTTAAAGACTAACAAGATGGTTTATTGGGTGATGAACTTTCGCGGGCCAGACCCACTTCCTCAGATCAAATAGTGGAAGAAAATTGTCACAACCATATATTAAGTTATATATGGTTGTGACAATTTTCTTCCACTATTTGATCTGAGGAAGTGGGTCTGGCCCGCGAAAGTTCATCACCCAATAAACCATCTTGTTAGTCTTTAAAGTGCTACATAGTCCTGTTTTGTTTGTTATACATTCTCTCTCATTGAGATTTTGAGCAATGTGCTCATGATATAGAAGAAACAAAGTAAGGTGCCAGAAGTAATGTGTGTATGCTTAAAAAAACCTTAAGTTTACTCATCAGTCACAAGTTGGCTTTTTTAATACAGACTGCATGAAATGGTGCAGAACTAATTATTAAACAAAACTGATATCAACTGATAAAAGTTTGGCTAGCATCACACTCAGACCCCCTGGATTGCTCTTAATCGTGTCAAAGAACATACTACTTTGCACCAAATACTGCCTAACAATTTCCCCTCTCACTCCAAACCCAGTATGGCTCCCAGCTTAACTGTCAGCCATCTCTGGACTGCTCTAAGTTATGTCCTTTAGTTTGTGCATACTTCCCACATGCCTGTTGAGTTTCCACATCAACTTCTCACAGGCCAGCACAATGGGCATGAATGAGGCTGGGATGAGCTTGTAACACAATCATGCTGTTTCTGTAGATCCAGTTGGTGCATTTTGTTTTTAATCCAATCCTTCTATACTTAACCCTCAAAGCCAAATTACAGGGATGAGGTGCATTAAAATCGGTGAGAATTACTAAAGACTGAGGAATCTACATTATGCCCTTTGTATGGAGCAGCAAAAGCTTCTGGAACCAATGCTGATCACTCTCACTTGGGGAAGGGAGTTCAGAAACCATGCCACTATAAATAAAACTTGACTGAAAATCAGAACACAAAAACAAAAAAGTCAGCCTCCTTAGGGGATAATAAGGTAATGCAATAGATTGCCTGAGCTATAGCCCATTGAAGAGAAGTGAAATACTCCCAGGATTTTGGCTTAAGACCTCACAAAGTAAATAACACCAGTGAATAAAGGGGTAGTCAGCTCATTCATGGATTATGAAACCTAACATTAGCCGTCACTGGATATTTTCTCTCTCTGTCTATAGACATATATGCACACACCTGCACTTATTTATATCCCCAAGTTACAATGAAATCTAGTTATACTTGCAAGTAGTTTCCAGCTCCTTTTTTGATTGTTTTGCCTTTAATCACCATACTTCCAGGATGAGAGGTGACTGGCAGGTGGCCCCTAGGCTACAGGAACCCAGGACAACTTGTACCCTGCTTTGACCTGGGGTGCACAGCCCTTCAGGTAATGCATGCTTAGCTGTGCCCCCAGGTGCACTAGCGGTGGCCTCCTGAGGCCGTTGGCACCCGCTCGTCTGGGCCGGAGCCCGGCTCAGCCCGACTCACCCAGAAGAGCAGGTTGAGGGCATAAAGCAGGCAGCGCAGGCACCTCACCGAGTCCTCCCTGGCCATAGTGAGCCGCCCGCGGCAGGACGCCCCATCCTCTCACCACATGCTCCCAGCGAGGCGAGGGC